TTTGGAGTCTTCACAAGCAACGCACCAAACTTTCACCCCGAACGCGCATCGACCAAGCGCGACCAGCAACATGAGGCTCACGGCGGAGTTGATAAATTCGTCGCTGTCGTACAACAACCCGCTCAACGAGCGCGAACTCGATCTCAGAGGTACGATTCTCCCAGAAGATGCCCTGAAAAGGACAGACGCTACACTTCCCAATTGCTGCAAAGAGAGCTAGTTGATACAAAGAATCTATTCTTACATAGGCCACAAGATACCTGGGATTGAGAACTTGGGTGTCGCCAGAGACCAAGAATGCATCGACTTCACCGATAACAACATCCAGCAACTCGCCAACTTCCCGCTCTCGCCGCGTCTTCAAAGCCTTCTCCTTACGAATAACCGAGTCCACACGATCTCTGAGAGCCTGGGCAAAAATGTACCGAATCTCCATACCCTGGTCTTGACGAAGAACAACTTGTCGGAGTTGGCGGATCTCGAGCCATTGATGGGATTGAAGAAGTTGGTGTACGTAAGCTTAATGGGCAATCCGGTGGCCACAAAGGAGGTTAGTGGGATCGAAATCGTGCAATTGGAAGCCTCGAGGTTGATGTGTGAGCGCAGAACTACAGATATTGGCTGCTCTGGCGATGCCCGCAGATTCGATTTCTCGACTACCAAAAGGTCAAGGACTCCGAACGCTCCAAGGCGAAGGAGTTATTTGGCACGCATCAAGCTCCTACCGAGCTTGCACAGAGCATTCTAGCGACGCGATCGAGCAAGCAAACCAACTTCGGGGCGCGCACTGCGAATGGAACGGCTAAGCGCCAGAAGATGAACTACACGGACGAGGAGAAGAAGCGCTTTCAAAGTCTCATCCTGAAGGCAAAGGATCTTGGAGAGATTGCCAAGTTGGAGAAGCTCTTCAACGAGGGTACGCTGCCTCTTGGCGGTGCAGACGGTGACGCGATGGACGAGACTTGAGTGCGCGAGCAAGCAGCGCAGGACAGCATTGGAACACAGGAAAGACGAGTGCGCCCGAAACACTCAGCCATGCGGAGCATCGCAACGACCAGGCTCGAGTGAGCTAACCACCATTCTCCTGAGCACGCGACACCAGGACGCAGTGGACCTTGACGGGCGCAATCCTTGTCCGTCTGAGAATTTCAGGCACGACCTGTTCAACGGAATTGGTATAAAACGGTTGCAACTTACGAAAGGTAGTGCCTTCTTCGTAGTTGCCAAATGCAAAGACTGATGACATTCAGCAGATCGAAATTGTCTCAGTTGGGCGCCTCGAGTGCGCATTATTACGCAGGCTTGCAGCTCTTGCGCTCGACTCTATGGAAAATCATACCCGTGCCGCTAAGATACCATGTTTTACACTCGGACATCCTGGTTCCCGTACTCTTACAAGCTCTTTTCCAATCCATCCTGTTCAGACATATCTCACTTTTCGCCAGTCGAACTCCACAATCACAAAAGAAACACTTCCCTCCGGTCCAAAAGCAGGCCAGTCCTTGCCCCTCACGCCCGCAGGTCGATTCCTCCCTTGGCACTGTCCAATTCGCTTCCCCAAGTCCCATCTGATTCTGCACTCATCTTCCCCAGGGGCGGGCTCATACCACTATTGACATCCATTGGGGGCGACCTTGCACCTCCCGCAACACCAGCACCATCCACCAGGGCCCTCATCTCCACCGCACTATCGCCTTCCCTGCTCAGAGGCCTTCCCCTGAAACCTGCACCAGAGGTGTATGCCGTTCGATCCCCACTTGGCTTCCGAAATTGATCACTGATCTTTCTCGTGTGAGCCGCCAATCTCTGTCCATACGAATTTGGTCTCGGCGGTGCTGCTCGTGGAGTGGTGAATTGTTCGTATGTTACTGGGGGTGGAGGAGAAGTTGGTGGATGTGGGTTGGGTTGTGACATTCCCCTTGCAGTGGCTGGACGTTCGACGAAGGTTTCTGAGGGAGAGGAGCGGAGAGGTTGGAGGTTTTGGAACATTCTCTTTGCGTCCGCTAGGGCTTTTTCGCGGACGAAACGTTCTCTGTTGGAAGGAAGTCAGTTCGGGTGTTCCGTTTTCCGTTTCGTTTGTGGAGGACGTACTGTTCTGGAGACATTCCGGGAATGTTGATCTCTTCGCGGCGGAAATCTGTAGGAGCGGACTGCGATGGGATTCTAGTCAGCACCAGCAGCAACCGGTGAAGCTGCAAGTTGAGCTTCACAGTGACGGGAACTTACGATCGCCAACTTGGTCCCCGTCCCGGTGGATACAGAACGCGGAGAATAATTCCGCTCATCCTCGGAATCGAAATCGCTCGAACTACAGCACAGAAACATTTTTATCTTGTCGCCGAGAGACCTGCTTTCTCTGGACTCTGTTGTTGTCGTTGTGTGCTGAGTAGTTGACATGGTACGGCGCGAGAGCTGAGCAGGAGCTCTTGTACCTGAGTCGAGTGAGACCTTGCGCAGGTACTGAGGTGCACAGTGTGTGATGTATGTATGGATGTCTTGACTCGGAGGCGGGGAGCATGGACAAGACACGATTCGCTAGGTGTCTGGCGGCTAGATACAGACGTTGATGGGATTCTTCGCAAAAGACGTCGGGTGGTAATTAGACAGTAGTAGTGAGATGATGCAGAGACAATGATGATGAAGGTATCTTGACTGTTGAAGCCATTTGCCAACAACAACAACGAACCACCTGATGAAGAGAGTCCAGACGCTTTTGATAATATCACTTCACTCCAGTGTGTCTTCTTAGTATACGTCTCGTTTGGGGGGGGGGGCGCCCTTTGTTCAGCCTTGCATGTTGCATTCTTGCATCCCAGGTGATGGAATGTGGGTTGTGAAGCACATTTGCGCTAATGCAGGTACTGATTCAGACCGAATGACGATGTCATACAACTGGGAGATCTTGTGAACAAAGCACACACACATCAAAAGTATGAAAGAGTAAGCTGCTGTGGCTTCGTATTAAAACCGAGTTGTAGGGCACGAGTGTCGTTGTTTGGGATCTCGCATGGATGTCGTTGCTAAGAAGGGTCGCCGAACGATATGTGGCCATCATCAGAGATAGATCGTACGTTACAGCGCGCGCCCCATGAGAGGAGAGAGGTCTCCACCAATTGTATCACATGCCTTTGCGTTGCACGCAGCATCAAACGCGTCCCTGCGCGTTCACATCCGGTTTCACAGAGCCGTTTTCGGTGAAACGCACGTTCGGCGGCATGAGGGAGGAACATTCTATAATTGCGTTATCTACCGATGCCACGGAGCCGTCCAGATGCCTTCGGCGTTGGTTCCGCTGCATACTTCCTCCCTTTCTTGCCGGGCCAAAATTATTTGGGGTAGTCTTTCAAGTGGTAGCTCTTCAGCTTGACGAACTGATCGAACCCAAACCGAGACAGCGTCTGGCCTTTTCCACTGTCTTTCCATCCTACCCATGCGAGATCAGGAGCAGGGTAGTCTGCACGGTTGACGAAGACAGTGCCAGCCTCAACGTCCTCTGCGAGTTCGTTTCCTTTGGCGACGTCTTTGGTCCAGATTGATGCCGTGAGACCGAATTGGTTGTCGTTCATCCATTCGATGGCTTGTTCGTCGGATTTCACGCTCAAGACTGGGATGACAGGACCGAATGTCTCGTCTTGCATGACCTCCATGTCTTGCTTGACGTTGGTAAGAAGAGTCGGAGCGACGTAGTTGCCGTCTGCTGGTGGATTCTTGAAAGAGGCGTTCTCGGGCGTTGCGTCTTTAGCGCCGGCTTCGAGAGCGGCACCGATGTGGTCTTGGATACGTTTCGCAGCAGCCTTGCTGATGACGGGGCCAACGTGGGTGGATTTGTCTGATGGGTCGCCGAGCTTGTACTTGGACAACACCTTTTGCACTTCAGCAATAAAGTCGTCGTGTACCTTCTCGTGTACGTAGACTCTTTCAAGACTGCAGCATGATTGACCAGAGTTGAAGACAGCGCCGTCGACGATCTCTTCGGCTGCCCAGGCGAGATCAACGTCTGGACGTACGTACGCCGGGTCTTTGCCGCCCAGTTCAAGCCCAACGCGGCAGTCGACTCGTCCTGCTGCAGCTTTCTGAACAGCGAGACCACCTGGCACGGATCCGGTAAAGCAGACGAGTTGAATCTCAGGTGCCTGAACAAGCTTCTCAATCTTGCCGAAGTCTCCACAGTGGAAGTATTGAATGACATCCTTATCTAGCCCGGCATCAACGAAAGCCTTCTGAACTTGCTCTGCAATCGTGGGGGTCTGAGGAGACGGCTTGAGGATTACGCTGTTACCAGACAGCAAAGCGGGCACCAAAGAATTGACGAGAGTTAGATAAGGGTACTGTCAAGTCTGTCAGCAAAGGTCTCCAGGTGAGTAGCGTGAACAGTGAGCCAACCTACGTTCCATGGGAAGATGATAAGCACTGGACCAAGCGGACACTTCCTGATGAATCTCTTGAAGCCTTCCTGTGGCTCACCAGGGGTATCTGAAAGGGCTTCATGGCTGATCTTGAGCAAGTACTCGCCCCTAGCCACCGCCGTCTTGACTTCTACGGCGGTGAAAGCGATAGGTCGTCCCATCTGATCGGTGATTTCCTTTGCCAATTCATCCTGCTTGTTCAGGATATTTTCTAATGCCTTTTTGACAATCTTCTGTCGTTCAGCAAGTGGCGTCTTACTGTATTTCAGGAAGGCCTTCTGAGCCGTCTTGGGGAGCTGTGCCAGCTCTTCGTCTGTGGGGCCATTGCGTTCTACAACGGGTTTGTTAGTAGTAGGGGAGATGGTGCTGATCTTCTCGACTGCCATGTTGTATGTTTTCCTTTTTCCAGATCTTCCGGAAGTGGCAGTTGGGCTTGTACTATCAAGGTTTGCATGTGATTGCGGCGTCCATGGCAGATTGTTGTCGGTGACGTAGTCATGTGGCCCGAGCTTCCCATCAACGCGCGAGCGAACATTTCATTCATCCGTCGCATCCCGGATGATGTCCACCTCTCTGCCTCTGCCGCGCACATTCTCGCAAGGATATCTTCTTCTTCCGTACTGTACTCTTCAATCGAACACGGGAATCCCCATCCTACTGCTCCTGGATCACCGGACATCAGGCCACATCTCCTGCCCAGCAACCGAGCTTCAATGAGCTAAGACGCGCCCAACAATGCTTCACATGCAGCGAGCCCTGGTCGGCTCTGCTCGCTCTCGCTCGACTCCACTACACTCGCAGCTGCGACATGTCCCTTGCAATCATGCAAATGTCTCCCTCCAGGCGCAATACAGAGCCCCGAAACGCTCAATCTTCTACCAGACCTCCCAGCCACACCCTCGCGCTACCCGAAGACATGTGCCGATATCGACGACGAAATGCCTCCAACTACGATTCGCATCGACCACAGAGACGGTCAAACAGATACCTAATCAGCCCAACTCGCGCATAGTACGATGGGCGTACAAGGCTTTGGCCTCGCTGGGCTTGTTCATTGTTATGAGCGGTGGCTTGGTCGTGGCATTCTTCATCTACGATGCAACGACATACCGCGAAGAGCCGGGATCGACAGATCTCACCGTTTCTGAGATGGCATTGCATCCGCGCAAGGGTGGACCAAAGAACCTGCCGATCGCGGAATATTTTGTCGACGATGAGGAAGATGACGAGATGAGAGAAGCTAAACACAAACCAAAACTTGTCATTCTGGGAACGGGATGGGGCAGCGTCGCTATGTTGAAGCAATTGGTGCCTGGCAACTACCATGTCACAGTCGTCTCGCCCTCCAATCACTTCTTGTTCACGCCAATGCTTCCATCTGCCACCGTCGGTACGCTGGAATTCCGAAGTCTGGTTGAGCCCATCCGCAAGATCGTCAGGCGCATCAAGGGTCATTTCTTGAAGGCCCATGCGGTGGATGTAGACTTCTCCAACAAGCTAGTGGAGCTGGAATCACTGGGCCCGGATGGGGAAAAGCAACGCTTTTATCTGCCATACGACAAGCTTGTCATTGGCGTCGGCTCTACCTCCAATCCACACGGCGTCAAGGGATTGGAACACTGCCACTTCTTGAAGGACATCTCCGATGCACGAAAGATTCGCAATGCCGTTGTTAGGAATTTGGAGATCGCATGTCTGCCTACTACACCCGACGATGAGCGTAAGCGACTCCTATCATTCGTCATCTCCGGTGGTGGACCAACTGGTGTCGAATTTGCTGCCGAACTCTACGATATGCTAAACGAAGATCTGATCAAGTTCTACCCCAGACTGCTGCGGAACGAGATCTCAGTGCATGTGATTCAGTCTAGAGGACACATCCTGAACACCTACGACGAAGCTCTCAGCAAATACGCTGAAGACCGACTTGCGCACGACGACGTCGATATACAGACTAATGCACGGGTGAAGGAGGTCAGGGAAGACCGCATCTTGTTCACGCAGAAAGGCGAGGATGGGAAAGCTGTGACCAAAGAGCTACCAATGGGATTCTGTCTCTGGTCCACTGGTGTGTCGCAAACAGACTTCGCGCAGAACCTTGCCAAGAAGTTTGACAGCCAGAATAACCACCATGCTCTTGAAACGGACACCCATCTGCGCCTTGCCGGAGCCCCACTGGGAGATGTCTATGCCATTGGCGACTGCAGCACCGTCCAAAACAATGTGTCAGATCACATCGTCACATTCCTGCGCACACTAGCCTGGGAGAAGGGTAAGGACCCGGCGACAATGACAATCAGCTATGCCGAGTGGTGCGAGGTTGCTAAGCGAGTGAGGACACGCTTCCCTCAAGCGAACGATCATCTGCGAAGACTGGGCAAGCTCTTCGAGCAGTACGACAAAGACAAGAGCGGTAGCCTCGACTTTGGCGAGCTTAGTGAGCTTCTCAAGCAGATCGATAGCAAGCTCACATCCCTTCCCGCTACGGCGCAACGCGCGAATCAGCAAGGCGAATATCTCGCACGCAAGATGAACAAGCTCGCCCAAGTGGAATATGGCATGAAGCTAAACGATATTGTCGAGGGTGATATTGATGAGGCAGCATACAAGGCGTTTGAATATCGCCACATGGGCAGTTTGGCTTACATTGGCAATGCTGCGATCTTCGACTTTGGCGGCCGGGGATTCGGAGGTGGATTGCTCGCTGTGTACTTGTGGAGAAGTATTTACTTCGCACAGAGTGTCAGTCTGCGCACTCGTATGCTTTTAGCGATGGACTGGAGCAAGCGGGCGCTTTTCGGCAGAGGTGAGTATCGTCGACAGGTAGCGACAAGTAATTTGCTAACGCTTTACAGATATGATGAATTACTAGACGGAACGTGTGGGTATAGCAGAAATGGCTTGTACAGTGCCTGGCATCTAGAGCACGGGCGCCTGGTGTCTAATGAGAGGATCCGAGATTTACCTCAATACCTATTTCCGGGTACCACGGTATGATGAACATCTCAGTACAACTTCCATGATCAGCACTTGCGGTTGCTGCTGCTGTGCCCTTCCAGATCCATCGACGACTCACAGCGTGTTGCGCTTGCGTCTGGACCATCCGCTACATTCGGGTCAGAAAAGTGTAAACCAGATAAGTCCGTCGGAGCTCGATCAGTCTCTAGCTTGAATGTCGTTCTCATATTTTATCTCCCGAGCGCAAGGAAGCATCTGCGCCAAACGAAAAGCTTCACACTTTCGATTTCTGAAAGAATCCTTGTAAGCTCACCACTGTATACATGGCAGCTCTCGAGACGCCGAAGTGCAGGCATGACCCTCCGAGCTTACAAAACTTTCGGTGCTTCTAATGTCCGTGAGAGCCCAACACGACGATTTCGCGCGTGGAGAATTGGCATGAAGCGAGAAATGAGCCTAGTGACCGACTACCCGAACTCAAGTCTTGAATCCCCTATGGCTAGGTAGGGTTCATAAGGCCGGGCTGCCTGTCACAAACACCCCGAGGTCCCTCTAAGAGACTTTGAGTAGATGGGTGTATGTCGATTCCGTTGTCTGGGATGAGCTTTCTGATGTTCGCGAGTGGAGTGGTCGCGATCAGCATATACACAGGCCAGATTTTTCATACGTGACAGATTGTCCCAAGCTCTCGTGGCGAAGAAAGGGCAATAGTGCCGATGAATTCTGGCTCACAGGGCTCGAGACGTTAGGATCGTCTGCAATTGCGATCGATGGTTATAGAGCATGACTATGGAAGACTCAATTTTCGCGGGAGAAAAGTTCACGACGTCGCGCCAACAGAGCTTGTATATGGTCCGTGTAGGGAGCTGATGACCAAGGTTTATCGAACTTTCGCCGTCCGACTCCAGTATGCTGACTCGAGGCATCATCTCGCGAGCAGTGGGATGCTTCACAAGTTCCAGTCATGATCGAATGCGAAAGCTATCAAGCTGGCCCAAGGAAGCGACGGATCCGCGTGATGTTCGAAGGGGCTGCGGTAGAAGCTGATATTCCGCACGAGGTGGAAATTTCCCATGTCGGACCTACGGAGCTTGCAATTCCAGGTGACATTGCTGGGAAAAGAGCCTAAGTCACTTAGTTGGTAGTTTGCCCCGAGCGCCTCCGCATGATGTGTTGAGTGTATGCGAGCAGAAGTGCTGGCGTTTTGGCTGACAGACGTCTGCCAGGTTCTCCCTTTCCGGACATGATTCCGTAACTCGGTTGGGAGATCAAGCAGAGAGCAGGTGTCGAATGGCATGTTTGCGCGCTGCTGGTTCTGATGGCTTCGCTTGTGGTCGGTTCGTGATTGACAGGTGCAAAGATGACGGGAAGTTGCAGCGGCGCGCTTGAAGTTCGATTTAGGATTCAGGCTTCTTCGTCCCGGATCCGGGCCGATCCCGCTACTAACATGTGACTGAAGTGGTGGCGGACGAAGTGCGGAACCACATTGTCTTGTCGCGCCCAAATTTCTTGCTCCAATGTGGAGAAATGCCGTGATCGGGGTCTCTTCAAAACTTACTCGCTAGTGACTGCCTACCTCTTCCGACTAGGCCTAGCATTCTTGTCCCTCCTTCTCTCCTGCAACTTTCTGCCCTTCCTCACATCTTCTACACCTTTCAACTCATTCTTTCCCTTGCCTTCTGCAAACCTGCCCACTCTCTTCTCTCGCGCAGCGTCCACCTTCTTCTTGCGTTTATAGTAGTCGTCGCGATACTTGTCCGCCTCCTTCGGCGCCCGCTCTTGTTTATGCTTAAACCTCTTCCCTTCATTATTGGCATAATGCACTCCGTTCCTCTCCATCTCTCCAACTTTTGGCAGTCTCTCCACGCGATTCGCTTTCCTCCATGCATCGAAACGTCCGGATTTGAATGAAGCGGCAATCTTCTGTCCACTCTCGCCAACGATCATCTTTTGTCCCTTGGAGCCATCTTCGTCATTGGCGCGAGCAACGTATTTCTTGCTCTTCTTATCCCATCGCAATCCTCGAGCTTTGCTGGGTTCCGCGAATCCTTTGGCATTTTCATCGTTGGTAAGATCCATTGTGGCTCCACGTGCAGCTTCGAGGAAATGAGCGTTCGTCCCACCAGAGTGCACGCCGTAGCCGCGGTCTTCGGCAAGGTTCATCGTAGACGGAGTATATGACATGAAGAACTCGGAGTCTTTACCAGAGATCTTGGAGGGCTTGGATGCGTCTTCATTGGGTGTCGTAAATGTGAGTTCAAGTTCAGAATCCGAGGCTTCTTCCATGTCTGCACCGGGCTGTGTTAATATGAGTTCCTCGTCAGAGTCCTCATCTGCCTCTGTAGCATGAGGCTTCGCTCCAACAGTAACTTCCTCTCCTGCGTCACTGTCATTCTCTTTCTTCACACGATGCTTCGGCTCGATCTTGGACCTTCGCTTTCGCATTACTTCTGCTGCTGCGCTCTTTTCTCCCCGCTTGCCTATTTCAAACACTGTTTCTTGCGGTCGGAAGCCGCTCACTCGTGCCAACATGTCCAGCCTCTGCTGCTCGGCATTGCCATCCTTGTCAGCATCAAACAGCATGTTTGTACCAGCAATGTCCTCCTTCTCGGAGAGTACTTTCGCCCGTTTGACACTCTCCGCGGATGCTGAGTTCCTTGTTCTGAGATACTGTTTCTCGCCCTTCGCTGCGACATCACGCATTGACGCAAGATCAATGTCGTCTCCGATCAGCTTCAAGGTCTCCTCTGAATATACCTCCACCCTGTCGCGCTTCAGAGCTCCGACGACAACCATATCCTTGAACATCCCGGGTTCCTTCTCCCCTCTTCCAATCACTATTCTTCGACTGAGAAATAGCTGCAAGTCAAGCAAGTACGGCATGTCCTGCTGGGTGACTAGACTGTAACTCCAGCCTTCCTTCCCAGCTCTCGCAGTTCTGCCAACGCGGTGAACAAAAATCTTCGGCTGCGACGGAAAGTCGTAATTGATGACGTTGGCCAGAATTGGGATATCAAGACCTCTCGCAGCAACGTCCGTGACTACAAGAATGTTCGTCATTCCACGTCTGAAGTCTTCTACCTGCAATTTCCGAGCTGTCTGGTCCAGCGAACCATACACGTACGAGGTGGCATATCCATAGGCTTTTAGGAAGTTCGCTAGGTACTCAACGTGATGTTTGGTCGCAGCAAAGACAACTGTCGAATGGGTCGATGGCGCTTCATTTGCGGGGGCTCCAACTGCGCCTCGCTTGCGCTTTTTGTTACTTCCAGATTTCGGTTCCTCCGCTTTAGTGGCGGCCTCGGTTGACCCAATGGGCATTTTGATCACGTCTTGCAGAATGTGCAACAGCGCACCCTCCTTGTCTGCACGTTTTACCGTGAAGAAAGCACTCTGTAGCCCAGGCGCAATCTTGCTCTCAGCGTCCAATCTGACAAGTTTAGGGTCCTGGAGACCTGCCCTAGCAAATTCCACAAGAGACTTCGGTAGGGTAGCGGAGAAAAGCAGCGTCTGTCTGTTCGAAGGTAGAGAATGCATGATCTCTGTGAGCTGAGCCGCGAAACCCATTTCAAACAGTCGATCCGCTTCGTCGAACACGACGTACTTCACACTTGACAGCTCCAGACCCATTTCGACCTTCAGATGCTCAAAGCGTCCAGGTGTTGCAATAATAATGTCCGGGTTGCTGGCCATGCTACGAAATTGCTCTTCCAGGCTGTCTCCTCCCACAAGCAGTGTAGTTCGTAGATCTGTTCCTTTACCCATCTCTTTTACCACCTTCAAAGTTTGCAGCGCAAGTTCTCGCGAGGGCGAAAGGACTATTGCCCTGGCTCCCACCTTTGCGCTGTGCGATTTGAGCTTCTCGATCATGGGTATTACGAATGCCGCGGTCTTTCCCGACCCAGTTCTCGCCATTCCAACCACATCTTGACCGTCCAGAATCAATGGAATCGTTTTGCGCTGAATCGGTGTAGGCACGGAGAAGCCTTTGCGTGTGATGGCTTTGAGGAGATTGGCGTTCAGGCCCATGGTCTGGAATGCGCCGGCTTTCTTCGCGGTTTTGTTTTCGTTGCGTCGATTGGCCGCGACTTGCGTAGCCGCAATGAAGGCTTCGTCTTCCTCTCCATCTTCACTGAGAATGTCATCGATCGCGGGTCCTTTGGTTGCTGCCGCAATCTCTTCTACCTCAGAGTCGCTCCCGAAGCCGCCGTCCGCGAACAAACTTCTCGTAATGTCAACCTCGTTCTCCGAGAGTGCTGGTGACGCTGCTCGCCCCATCTTGACCAATTTGTCGGCGATGTGACCGCGCGGAGAAGTTGTTCGTCTGGCTGAAATCTTTCTTGAACCTTGGCATGGAGATATGATATCGCCGTCTGCACGCTGCGGAGCGAGCCGAGTCCCGAGAGTGGGCGCTTTAGCGCGACACGTCCTTTTGGCTTTGTCGCGTCTGCTGCCTTGCACAAACATGCATTTGGAGGTCGTCTTGATCTATGAACAGCCAGCCCGCAAAGCCTTTCACGACTAAACGACAGTTACGATCAAACCAAATTCGCGAACCCTTTTGCCGTTCTGAGCCCTTCCTGCGCTAGTAAATCAACCATGGGTTCGCGTCTCCGTCCACACTACCCCTCCTCTTCTGCTAATGCCACACAGATTACGGATACAGCACAACATCGTATGGTGCTCAAGGAGGCAACAGTGGAGGAGGCTTCATGCCTGGCTCCCAGGGCGAAGGTTCCGCGAACCAAAAGAAAGGCTATGGCAAAGATACTCTCCGTCCCGTTACGATCAAGCAGCTCCACGACGCCGCCCACCCACATCCTGACGCCGACCACTTCATGATCGACAACAGCGAAACGACGCAAGTTACATTTATCGGCCAAGTCCGCAATATCTCCACGCAGACAACGAACGTCACGTATAAGCTAGACGACGGAACGGGCATCATCGAAGTGAAGCAATGGATTGATGCCGAGGCCCTGCAAGATCCCGATGACCCCAGTAACCAGAAGCCCAAGCCCGTCGAAGAAGGCTATGCGCGTGTGTGGGGAAGATTAAAGGCGTTCAACAACAAGAGACATGTGGGCGCAAACTACATCAGGCCTATTCAAGACTTCAACGAGATCCAATACCATCTTCTCGAAGCGACAGTCGTGCATCTGCATTTCGCCAAGGGCCCACTTGAACAGCAAGCACAAGCAAATGGAGGCGCAAATGGAATGACAAACGGCGGTCACCAGCAGGCAAATGGGTACGCACAGCAAGACCCAGGACCCGGAAGCGTGAGCGCAGCGGCGAGGAAGATCTTTGCGGTTTTGAAGCAGACGCCGCAGACAAACGAAGGTCTTCACGCGCAGGATATTGCCATGCGAGTGGGCTTGGAGATGTCGGAGGTAATGAAAGCTGGAGACGAGTTGCTGAGCGGCGGAAAGATCTACACAACCGTTGACGATGCAACGTGGGCGCTGTTGGAACTGTAAATGCGGACTACTGGTCTAGATGATGGAGCGCCGAGGACGAAAGGGCCAGGTGACCCATGTGGCCGTCTTCGGTTCCATGCAAGCGGCGCGAGGGATGTACTGCCGTACGAGAAGGATTCCCGGATATGGGGCGTATCACCGGACAAGATGGAATCGTCCCCAGTCCAAGTGTTCTCACACCCGCTGGACAGCACTGGAGTAAATTCAGTTGGAAGCCGCAGCTTCGTGAACGAAACTGCGCCATGTAGAAGCAATGACCATCATGTATTGAAATGCTCGTTTCGTGATTCGTGTCTTCGTTTGCTCGTGTCTCATGGCCCAGCTCTATCTTGCACTGCTCGCATTCGTACCAAGAAACAATACGCAAGCCGCAATAATTGCACAGGCCACTACTGTAAAGACCTGTTGAAGCATGTCGTTAGCCAACATTCCCCCTTCTAGCAGGATTCAGAGCAAACTCACCAATTGCGTCCCCCACCCAGTCTGCACCAACGCTTGCCTTCTCGAGTAGCGGTTCACAGTCTTGATGTAATTATTCAACCCACTCCCTAGACACGCAATCGCCAGTATCCAGAAAATTACGCCGAACGGTAAGGCAGCTTTTCGCTCGATTTCGGTCGGCTGATGTTTGAGATGAAAGGAGATCAGAATGGCGACGGACACTATTGCCATGTAGGTTGCGAGGCGAAGCCAGGAGAGAAATGTACGTTCTGCGGCGCAGTGGTCTCTTGCATCTGAGTCCTTGTTGTCGAAGAGGAGAGGAGCCAGGACAGGTCGGGAAATGAAGGCGTTGCCTGTGAAAGAGTTTCGCCTGGAGGATGTATTAGACATCACCTACGATTATACTCTTAGGGGTCTTTCCTTCGTACTGGTGAACCAACACAGGCTTCGTCGGCCACGGGTTGTAAATTGGGTTATACGGCTCATACATCAACCTCCTCTCATCGCTTGTGATTGAAGAGGCATCCTGGTCCATGTCTGTTTGAGGCTCTGGAGCTATTCCTGCTCTTCCTCTTTTGTGGTTTTTTGATGGACAGGGTTTGACCTAGAAGGTAAAGTGTAAGTTGTTGCTAGTCGGGATGTGAGTGAATGTTGGCGGAGAGAACGGGGTCTCGGCAGTGCACAGAGCGCTAGTACTAATTGGGGTATGAGTTTGAACTACAGCACAGTTGAAAGTTGAGATGGACGTCGCATTTGCATTCAGCACTGATACCGGCATTGCATTGGAAGTCCACTGAGACTGGAGAGAAAATTTTGCAACGTGCACTGTCGGAGGAGAATGATACCACAATGGCGACCGGAATGATACAACGAAACTTCAGGACAGGCGGGAAAGAGCTGTTCCTGTACGCAGTAACATGATCCTACCATCTTGAGGAGACTCGCTAACGGTAGTCCTGCTCAGTCCGAACGTAATAATCACTCTCTTGCGAACAGATCATCTCGGTCCTAACTACGCCAAATTCCGCGTCCCGCTACACTTCTCCAAACTCGACCTGCGCGATTACCTCTGGCACGCCTACAATGTCGGAACCCTCAACATCCGCTCCTACGTCAAACTATCGCGCGTGCAGTCGGGTAAACCGGGCGGTCAAATGCCTTTGATCCGGAGATGGCATCGTCCACAGTCAACGAAGTACATGACGGTGGAACTGGTGAGGCCGTTTGTGTGGCCACCGGAGCCGGAGAGTTTTTCGGCATGGAATAAGGGTGAGACGGAGCAGATGAATAAAACATCGAAAGACGTGCAGAAACAGCAAGGGCAGGCGGCGAAGACGTATATTAACAAGGACAGGGCGGAGAGAATGAGGGAGCAGGCGAAAGAACTTCTGGAGGGAAAGGTCAGGTGGAAGGCGCCTATCAAGGGAGCGGAGGGTGTTTGGATACCGAGATCGTAGTGTAGAGGGGGTGGTCCACTCCTCCACGGCCTGAGGGCCCCATGATGGGATGTACAGACCTGTATGATAGTCGGACGGACAAGAGGCCAGGCATCGAGCGCTCTGGGCAACACCAGAACCTTCCTGAGCCTGGAAATTTCAGCGGACGACGTGTTCACCATCGCTCGAACTGTAACATCGCAGCAATCGTGCAAGAAATAGTCTCCGGCTTGGAGACGGTACAAAATGTGCGAGGTTGTATAGCCGGACAACTGGACGCGATCGGCAACCTACAGCCTTTCCTGAAAGAAGGCCCGGCAGGAAAAGAACGTCGAAGGAGAATTCTGATTTTCGTCGTCCCATCTACACACAACCAGTGTCCATAGGTACATCAAACAAGACTCCAGAGGCACAGGTCAACCTACACAACTACGTCGCTTGGCAGCAAACCCCTCTCCTCTTTGATGCAAAGATGCAGAAGGATGCCGCCCAGATGCGATCTCCGCCTATTCTCAGAGTATTAAACTGTGAGGACTCGGTATGTCTGAGAACGCAAAGCAAGACTTCCGATCTCGCTACGCCAACGAGCAGTATGCCTACCGCGCCAGCAACGCTCGCGAGAAACAAGATCTCAAAGACGACGACTATGAATATTGTCTATCAAACTACAAGACGTGCATCAACCACCTCATGAGCGCTATCGAAGACCGTCCCTAGACTTCCACGACCTGTCCACAAGCGGTCAACAAAAGGGACTGAGACGCCCTTCAGCGCGATGCCTCAATGCCACCAATGCAAACCCGGGCGACAACCCGAGAAATGCATAGGGAGAAAGAGCCGCTTAGATTGTGTGGGACGAGATCAAAAGCATCAATACTCTATGGCCCGCGAAAGATTGATTACAATGATGGCAAGGGTATGGACTGTCCGCCTTCGATGAAATGCTCCGATTGAATCGACACCGTGATCAAGGTCATCGAAGGGAACTCGTGCATGGCCCTCAATGCTTTGAAAGGTAATGATATACCTGAGTTGTGTTCTAATCCGGAGCTGCATGCGGCAGCAGAAATCGAGGTCCCAGTTGGACATGCAATTTTTGACCACGAAGAATCTGGAGAACTCTTGACGGCCATGAGCGAAGAGACGAAAAAGTGGGTAGCAGGGCAGCAAGTGAAGAGAGGCGAGAGCAGCTGAGGGTTCTTGAACTTGGAAGGTGAATGACGGGGTGAGTCCTGCCTGGAAATTCCTTTGGAAAGGAAGGTCGAGACCCCAGGCCGGAAGGGGGTGACCTGAAGAATTCTGTACGTTGCAGAGTCAGATTGGAGAGGATTAGAGAAAAGAGGATGAAAAGGAGATGATAATGGGGAAGACAAGGAGGGGAGGGAGGCATCTCTGGACTTGGTGAACAGATGAGCGCTGTGATAGTGAGTGATAGAATTTTTGATACCATCAATGGTCTCTCCCCAACTGTATTAGCACATCGGTGATATTGAAGTGCAAGAAGATGAAGGGAGGTGGTGAACCTCTCCACGCATGGACGCTGCATGCACGGGGAAGATCCGCCGCCACCAAACCTTATCTTGGCGTACATATTCGTCCGGTTTTGTTGCTTTGGATGGATCGCCCTCGACCGAACATGACCGAATTGAACTAATACCAGGTCCATCTATTTTCGCGCTCACGGTTTGACTGAAAGACCTGAGGCATGTGCGAAACACGGTGCTGACACGCCAGAAGCTCGGCCTCATCCGGACCCTTGCTTCGGCCTGTTGTTCGTTTCTCTCTATCGTGTCAGAATGCCGTCCATGCGAACCATTCTGAAGGAACGAGAGTAAACACGCCGGTGACCTTCTTTCTCAGATTCTAATCACCCTGCACGAAGCAATCTCTGGATCCGGTGGAAGATGAAGGCGCCATCGACGGCAGCACTGCTGGTGCTTGCCAGTCTATGTCTTGACCAAGCTCTTGCTTTGAGCGACGATATCAAGTTGAAGGCCAAATACCAGGACGCTTGTCCAGCATATGAGCACTATTCTCGCTTTGCACAGTACGGTCATGCATCGATGCGCTAGAGAATCAAAGACCTGACGTTGCAATAGCCACCCGTACAGCGAAGGACCCATGTCCCTACCCTACCAACGACCATCGCCCGCCTGCCGCACATTCGAATCGGAGCTCGTCGAGAAGATCATCCGAGACTTGAATGCTAGTATGGTAGACAAAGACATGGCTCGCCTGTTTGAGAACGCATTCCCGAACACGTTAGACACGACGGTGAAGTGGCATGTGGACTCGACACAAAAGCAGGAGGGTACGATGCAGCAGATATTGAGCATCACTGGGTCGGGAGCTTGGGAAGGGCCACAGAGCTTCATCGTGACAGGAGATATCAATGCGGAGTGGCTGCGGGATAGTACAAACCAATTGGCACAGTACCAGCGATTGGCGAAGAAGGACAAGCGGATCGAGAACCTGATCCTTGGGGCAATCAACACTCAGGCCGAGTATGTGATTGAATCTCCATATTGCAACGCTTTTCAGCCGCCTCCGCCGAGCAAGCTACATCCAAGCGACAATGGCCAGGGCGATAATGTCCATCCTGCGTTCGAGCCCAGCCAAGTCTTCGAGTGCAAGTACGAGCTAGACTCTTTAGCTCACTTTCTCTCGCTGACGAATCAATTCTGGAGTCACACTGGATCAACCGCCTTCTTGACCACTAGGTGGTACAAAGCAGTAGAGACCCTACTCCACGTCTTGGACCAACAGAGCGAGTCGACATTCGATGAAGAGACTGGCGCATTCAAGCGTCAGACATACCGATTTCAGCGGAACACCAACACCGGCACCGAGACACTCTCACTGGCGGGCAATGGCAATCCCCTCAACTACGGGACCGGTCTTATCAGGTCAGCTTTTCGTCCGAGCGACGATGCTACTGTTTTTGGCTTCTTTATCCCGGCGAACGCGATGATGGCTGTTGAGTTGAAGCGTGCTGCTCAGATGCTCGATGCGGCAGGTAAGCCGCACGTTGCGCAGACTCTCAAGAACCGTGGCGAGGCCATCGAGAAGGGCGTCTGGGAATACGGTGTAGTGAATCACAAGAAGTGGGGCCACGTCTTCGCTTTCGAGGTTGATGGCTACGGCTCATCGCTTCTCATGGACGACGCAAATCTACCATCGCTCCTGGCGCTACCACTGATGGGCTTCGTGAAGAAGGAAGAGCGCACCTACCAGAACACCCGCAAGATGATTCTCTCGAAGGAAGGAAACCCGTATTTCCTGCAAGGCAGGGCATTCAAGGGGATCGGTGGTCCTCACATCGGCCTGAACAACGCTTGGCCCATGTCTCTACTTGTGCAGGCGATGACGAGCGACGACGACGACGAGATCGGCCAGCTGCTGGAAATGGTGAAGAAAGCATCGCCGCTTGGTCTCATTCATGAGAGCATCAACGTTGAGAGAATTAAGGATTACACGCGCAGCTGGTTTGCATGGGCCAATTCGGTCTTCGCACAGACAATTCTGGACGTTGCAGAGAGGAAGCCACACCTATTATTTGGACCCGAAGCAAAGCCTTATGTCGTTGGTGAGAGCTGAAGGTAGTTATTGTTACGCACAGCGATATCACCCGCTAAATCAGTTCTCCATGATTCCAACTCTTCGCTCGATGCCCCATCTAAGCAGCGCATTTTGGTACGAGGCGAGTACGCTTTGATCTCGCACTGTCCTCACGGGTGCAGTACGCTTCAATCGTCCGCTTTTGTTCACGCACCAAGCTTCTGTGCGAGGCTCTGTCCTCACGAACCATCGTATCTGAGGACACTTGCGCTGGCGGAGCTCATATAAAATAGAGTCTTTCTGCGTCGAAATATAGATCTCTCCACCATCAGAATTACTGCCGCAGAAGAGGACATCAGCAATATCTCACGACCGCAGGAAGAGCAAGCACGACACAATCAACACCTTGAACGCACTTGCGAACACCATCGCAATGATGTCCAGTCACTCCGCAGCAACAATATCCCTCCTCGACCTGCCCGGCGAACTCCGCAACGCGATCTATGAGCTCGCCTTGCCCAACAATGTCGTCTTACACTCTACTGACGACGATGAAAGTCTCAGAGTGCAGAGCTATCCAGCACTACTCCGCGTCAACAAGCAAATCCACACCGAAGCCGGCACAATTTCCAAAGCAAGACTATTTTGCGGCTACTACACAGCTACAGCATCGCGGCCGACTTTTTCGAGGATCTTTCGGACTGAAAATTGCGGTCCTATGGAGGGTGGTGGAGCTTCTCAATCTTTGGGCCAATCCTCGAATGAAGCAGTCTGAAAACGTCGGCGACCTGAAGCCTTCACGTCGGCATCTTCGATGGTCATCATACGGGCGTTAGCATGGTCACGTGGTCGCCGATGAATGAGGAACAGGGACTTTCTAACAGTCACGCAGAGTACGTCTGACGTGTGATCCGTTTAGCTATTGACATCAATTCATCTCTTGACGCATATACTATCCCCTTCTTTCAGGTTTCATTGCCAACATGGCCGCACAAGCACTTCAACATCCCTTAACTGTTGACCATTCGCTTCACCGCACACTTCCCAAATCCGACGAAAGACTTTCGGGTTGGAAGTTCAAGAGAGAAGGCCAGGTTAAGAGATGTCCTCTACGTGGAGCTTTACCTCATTTGGTATCTCCCCAATCGGAAGCCCCTTCTAATGGTCCCATTCTCAAAGTAGAACGTAGGCTTTTTGTTTTTGGGAAGTTCTTATCTGTCGCTGATGGGTATGTCCTGTTCGAAACTTTGTCCTAAACGCCTCGCTGAATCGCAGCAGAGATATGACGGAGACCAGAGAGCTGGAATGTTCACTTTCTAGGTCTCAAAAGTGGCGGATGAAAGCTTTATTTGTATTCCTCTAGCGTCCAAGATTCGGCGCCTTCACTCACGGTCAGGGTGTGAGCGTGGAAGTTGATGAAGTCGTACCTGGGCAACTTGTTAGACCAAATTCTGGGACTGCGTATTTGCAATTCAACTCACATCACAGCTGCCGCCTCTCGTGCTTGTTTATGCCAATTCCCGCCCCCTCCCTGGACCGCATCTTCATGATTGCGCCACAGACCTGGAGAGAATGATCAGCGATACTGATGATACCTGAGCGCCGGAGAGATCAGACTTACAGGTCGCCAAATTCTTCCTTTCCTCATCCGGCGTTCCAAACCAATACTTCAACAAGCCTCCACTGGCACATGCTTCCTCGTGGGACTTCTGGTCGAGGAGTCCCAGGCGGTCGCGGTCGATGGTGGACTGAAGCTTGGAGCGGAAGATGACGACGTAGAATTGGGTCTCGCTCCAGTGGTGGCCTGCCTGCTCGCAGAGAGTGCGTAGGAGGGAGAAGACTTCAGGCCAATTGAAGGATTCCAGATAGGGTGCGGTGGCGTAGTCGGATCGGATGGGCTTGAGGGCCGTGAGGGCGTGTGCGAAGAGTTGATGTTCTGTAGAAAGGTCGGAGAGGCGGAGTTGGTTGGCGAGATCGGGATAGGGGGAGGAGATGAGGTGCGTGGCGTTTAATAGATTGTTGATGTCGTCCTCGGGAAGCACGTTTTGATCTTTTGTGGCTGATGCTGCTGCTGCTGCCCGCGGCTGTAACGGGCTGAGGACTCGGGCCATGTCGGTGAGGCCTAGATGGGAGTCGAAAGGACAGGAATGGGCTGGGAGAAAAAGACTCAGGTCGAAGTACCTTCAACGCTGTTTTGTCTGTTATGTGTAGATGGCGGTCAAGTAGTTGTCCTCGATTTGCATCCGTAATGTGGAAGCGAGAATCTTTGTCCAATAATGCAGGTGGTGCATCTGGGAGGCCATTCACCGAACTTTGGCAATTGTCGCCATTGCCGCGAGTGATAACGTGCTTGGAGCGTTGAAGACGCAACACTTACCAGGAGCTCGGGCCTGCAGCGTTTCGGACGCGCAGGTTCTTCGAGACGCCGGATGCGAGTCTTTTCTATCAACTTGGCCCCAATGGCATTGACTTGGTCAGCATCAACGAAGGGAAACCCGGTCCCTGAAGAATTAGCCGTGCCGGCCGTGGTATAGACGTAGAGCGTCATTGCTGGCCCTCCCGAAGAGTCTTTGGGAGTGTTGATGTTTGATAGAAGACTCGTGGAAGATCTTGGAGTCAGAAGGATTGTGTTGTGATATGGAGTAAGACTCTGGAAAAGATTGTCGTCGATGAGGCTCTCGCACGTGTTGATAAGAGAATGAGGCTTGTCAGTACATCCCTGCGAAGATCCATGCACGGTTTGCTGACAAAGCCGCTAGGATCGACCTCGTCTTTGTTCTCTTCCCTGTACACCTTTCTTCAATCTTTTCGACACTTCTATTGTATCGTTCCATCTGATCACAACCATGCATACCATACAATGCCTACCATACCATACCGTACCGTACCATACCAATTCTGCAACACCGGGGAGGAACTCCAACAGATCCCACCACCCGACGTGTTCCGGGTGATCCGCCAGGTCGCATAGATGATTCAACGAAACACACCGACACATCCGGTCGAGCCGGTGGGACCGATTCATTCTGAGGGATATCGGTTGATGGGACGGTCATAGCCCACGACCAGACACCCTCAAGTGGACAAAACCTGCTTTCCACTCTTCAGGCAACCAGGTCGATGTGCGACTACGACTCCCCTGGAACGATTTCGAAGCCTTGTCTGCCAATCCCCAAACGCGCTCTGACAGGCTCCATGCGACATCGGCATCCCCTCTGCTCCTCTTCACTCTTGACCTCGATTGTCCGCAAGTTCCGCTCTCGCTGTTGGATCAGAACATCCGGGATCCACCCGTATTCCAACTCGATGAACGGAGGACCGTTTGTGAGAGACGCACAGCCTGAGGCCCATAGACTGGAACGCCCATTCGGCTCTAGTATTTGCACAACTGTGAGGCAGATCTTCTCCCCGTGATCTGCCTCCACCTCATGGGCGCTGCATAGTTGGGAGAGCGCATGAACGAGACTGCTCGGAAGGCCACTTTGGCCCACTCCTGCATCGCTTGGACGCCGGTCGAATCGGTCCCTACGATCGCCACCCGCTAGCATTGCAGCTCGACTCCTTCGCCTGACCAGAATGTGGAATGATGGGACTTGCCTTTGAACCTTCTCCCGTCCTTCAGCAAACACTTCCGCAACGTTCGGCTTGAACGAGGTACCTGTCGTCGCGGAGAACCATGTGCACCGGTATTGCTGGCCGTCTTTGGTCTGAACCATACATACATTTGAATCTTCGTGCCACGTCGCTTCATTCACTTGGGTGTTTAGCACCACGTTCTTGAACAGGCCGTTAGCACCACGTCCCTTGAACAGGCCCTAGACTCCATCAACATGGTCAGAATACTTGCGCAACTCTTTATATGAAGGGAGTCGCTTGGTCCAGGTCCAAGTACTCCAAATTTCTGGATCTGAAAAGCCACACTGGTGATACTGTCAGCCATGTGGCCACCATCTCATCTTGCTCATGCTTCCACCCTGGGAAACTGCGACTTTTGCAGCACATGTCGAAGATCGGCATTTTCGGCTCTTGTGAAGCCTGTTCCGATGAAAACAAAGTGCATGATTCGGCAATCGCCATTCCTGGTACCAATCTGCACCCATTGGGCCGAAACTTCATGTTGCCGATGAATTGATAAATGTAGGAGTCGTGGGCGCGTCTTCTCTTGTATTCTTCCGCGAAGTTGAGCGAGAATGGCGTTTAATACAGCATTGACAAGACGGCTGGGCATTGAAGGTGCGTAAGAGTCCTCTTCCAGCCCCGAGACGCATCTGGAGAGTTGAGACTGTTTATTGAACAGTCTCAGTCGTCCAGGAAGGAATGATGTGGGTTGGTTGCGCAGAATTGGCCAGTGCAGTGTCCAATGCTGGAGCGCTTGGCATCGTACAACTCTACTGGAAGGAAGTACAGGAATCCATGTACTGATCGAAGTCCTCCAGATTACATCTCTCACCCAACCCACACCAGAAGATCTCCGCAAAAAGATTCGAAGATGCAAGACCATGACCTCGAAGCCATTGGCGTCGATCCCATTATGCTACCAATGTCGAATCCTCCAGACTACATTGCATATGCCAACATGATAGTCGAAGAAGGAGTCAAGATTGTTGAGACGGCGGGGAATAATATCAAGAAAGCTATTGCCGTTTTCAAGAAAGGGGGATGCCAGATTCTGCATAAGTGCACGACCATAAAACATGCTCTTTCGGCTGTGAAGCTTGGTGTCGACTTTCTCTCCATCGATGGATTCGAGTGCGCGGGTCATGTTGGAGAGACAGACATTTCCAATGTCGTCCTCTTGTTACAAGCGAGACAACAGCTCGGCGACGTTCCGTTCATCGCCAGCGGTGGTTTTGCCGACGGACAAGGACTAGCCGGTGCGTTGGCTCTCGGCGCATGTGGAATCAACATGGGTAAAAAATTCAATGTGCACTGTCGAAGCACCCGTTCATTGGAATGTCAAAGAGTCGATAGTGGAAGCCAGCGAGAACGGTACGGAACTGATCCTAAGGAGATGGAAGAACACGAACCGGTTATTTAAGAACAAGGTGACGGCTGAGGCGACGAGAATCGAGAGGGAGAGTACCACGGGAAAGTTTGAAGAGGTGCTGCCTCTAGTCTCGGGGGCAGAGAGGGAGGCAGGTTTTCCTGAATGGCGATCCGGATCATGGGGTAGCTGTCATACTCTGTTTGTGGATGTCGCCGGAAACGCTGATGGATATGACAGGTCTGGACTGTTGGTCTCTGCATTGATTTGATCCATGATATTCCGACTTGTGAGAAGCTTGTTGCGCGAATCGAGACTGCGGCTTTGGATTCGATCAAGACCCGGTTCTCTTACATTAAGCAGAAAAGCAGGCCTAGGCTATGAAGTATGAGCTAATGAGGCTTGTCTTACGGTACATACCACATTTCGGACGCTTTGGATGCAACGTGGTTACATCAGGCTCACTGATACGTGCAAAGCTACACAAAAGCTGAGCTCACATTGTCACCACGAACACGCTAATCTCATCATCACAGGACTCCGAGCAGCACGATCGCGAGCAATGTCTGAAATAGGCAAGCCAACAGTATGCTGCATGAGGTATCCCACGAACTGGTGCCATGCGCGTCGGTCGGCGCTCTTCCATATTGGCATAGATCGTCGCACAGCATGTACGAAAACGCCGCCGTACCATATGGGGAATGCGCTCGAAAGCAGCCCGAAGGATCAAAGAAGACACCTACCCTTCTCGAACCACTCAAGAGCGAAGATGATCACGCTGGTGGCGTTCTCCTGGCGCCACTTCCTATTTGTCTGACGTGTTGAGACCTTCTTGGCGAACGCTTGGGGCTGGATCCTGGGTGAGAGGATGGAAGTGTTGCTTTGTGCTCGCGTATGACACGGTAGGGCGGCATCTCTCTCGTTGAGGACCTTGTTCCTTCAGCCTCATCACACGGTTTGTCTCACGAACCCTCTGGGCAGCTCCCCAGCATAACGTTAATAACGTTATCGTTATCCATACCCAGCGTATTAACACAGGGTATCCACGGGCATCTCGCTACATGCTACATCCTACCTACCGCCGAATACCACCTAACCGCCCTCCGCTATACCTAGGCCCTCCCGTAGAATCCTTCCTCCCTTCGGGGGGGCCTCTCCTACTGAGCTGCGGTTATTTAGGAAGCTGTCCAGAGGCTTCGTGGATTTTTTCTGCTTCTCTTTCTCCACCACAGCTTCTCACATTCCCCTAGCAAGCAACAATGTACACGCGCGCCGTGGCTCTGGCTCTCGCAGCCGTCGCGGCAGTTTCTGCCCTCGCACAATCCAGCGATCCAGTCGAAAACGGTCCCATCTCAGGCCCTTACCTCCCAACCGGCACCGGCCCAGGCAAATGCACTCAAGACTTCCGCCGTCGCGGTGCAGAACAAGTCATCTTCGCATACAACCTGGTCGGCCCGGGTCAATCCGCCGAAGCTTTCCAGCGCTTGCCTCTGCGAGACGACTGCAACACGTTCATCAACCCCAACGGTGGTCCAGCTGTCCCCGTCGCCATCGACCGCACCACCACTTACGACTTCGCCCTCGCCACACGACAAGTCTTCTCGCGTGTAACGGGCGAATACACCAGCTTTTACAACGGCACCGCCGATACTTCCGGGACGGAGATCATCCACACGAACGTCACGCTTGGCGCTGGACATCTTGTTGCTATTCCGGTGACTTTCTACGCGGATGTGTATCTCAGCTATGATGAGGATTGCTTGATTTATAAGATTCAGGCTTTTGCCACTATCCCGACGGATATTGTAAGTTTTCCCCCTGATTTTTTCTTTCCCCCCCTCTCCCCCCAAATGGGAGATGGGATTTGCTGATTGCTTTTCACTAGGCTGGTATTCCGATCGAGCCGCCTATTCTGCCGCAGCTGCTGGCTCTTTCGGATTTATACAAGGGCGGTGAGGTTCCTCAGAAGCGCGGTGAGCTGGAAGGGATGCCTCTCGAGGCGTGAGAGTTTGGGCTGGGGATGTTTGGGCTGCTCGGTTTGTGTTCTTGGGTCTAGATAGATAGAGGATGTAGAATTGCAATTGGTGAAGGGCGCTGTTCGACATTGACTCTTGTTATTCTGTTAGGCGAGACACAGCCTGCCGAAGGAAGGTATCAGCTAGAACGGGATTCTGACTTTGGATGCTCTGTTTCTCGCAGCTGGGCAAATTGCTCGTAATGCACGGCGGGGAAGGGACTTGCAGAGGATACTTCCATACCGGAAACACTGCTTGTGAGTGTGATCCAAGTCCGTTGGACTGTTCTGACATCCTGCAGATCGAGACAGCGAGAACAAACTATGGTAGATCGCCGACCGCAAAAAGGACCTGATCAAGGTCCACGGCTTTCAAGTCGCACCCGCGGAGCTCGAAGGTGTTCTCCTGGATCATTCAAAGATTCAAGACGCGGGCGTGATTGGAGTGCCGGCTACCAGCGTAGCAAGCGATGCCGGCAGAGGAAGCGGAGAGCTGCCACGAGCAAATCTGGTGAAGAAGCCTGGTGTTGAGTTGACAGACTCCGAAGTTAAGAGCTACGTAGCAGAGAGATTGGCGAAGTACGAGCATATTGTTGGCGGCATTGTGTTCATTGGTGCACTGCCAAAGTCAGCCAGCGGCAAGGTTTTGAAGCGGTTGTGGAGGGAGCAGGCTGAGGTGGAATTGAAAGCCCAGGCTAAGCTGTGGTCTCGTAGATTTAGTCAGTGGCAGTGATAACTCATCGGGGCACTGTTCTACTCTTAATAATGGCATCTTGTTCAAGCGCCTGCAGCTCGACCTCTTCGATTCCAAATTTTCGCAGGACTTCCTTGGTGTTTTCCCCATGCAGAGGAGGCTGACTGCGGATAGTAGCTTTCGTCTGGCTGAACTTGATGGCAGGCCCTGCGGTATATCAGATTCCGGTTGCATTCGCTCAATTCGTGTCGCCTCACCAAGTAGCTTGATCTTCCCAGCGCGAGCCGAATCAAGTGGCACCTCCTGGACGAGGTCTCGTGCCGCAGTCTGAGGGTGATTGAAAACCTTCTCCATGGTGTTGATAGGCGCATACGGCATTCCGCTCCCTTCGAATATCTCCGTCCACTCATCTGTAGTTTTCTTGGCGAATCGTTCATTGAGGACCTTGCCGAGCTCGTCACGATGCGTGACACGGTCTCCGTTGCTCCGGAAGCGATCATCCTCAGCGAGCTCGGGAACGCCTAGAAGACCCACGAGCTTGTGGAACTGTTTGTCATTCAAGGCCCCGCAGACGAGATAGAGGTCTCTGGTCTTGAAGGTATCGTAGGGCACGACGCTAGGATGTTGAGCGCCCCATCGTTCCGCTTCGACGCCCAGGTTCAGCCATGACATGGCGACGTTCGTGAGGAGGGCGACTTGGGTTTCGAAGAGCGAGCCGTCGATCTTTTGGCCTTCTCCCGTTCGTTGCCGTGCATACAATGCCGCCATGATGGCGCCGTGCATGTACAGACCGGTCGACATGTCGGTGAGGCCTAGGCCAGGTCTGACGGGGCCTCTGCCTCGCTCTCCAGTCAAGTGAAGAAGTCCGGCTTCAGCTGCAGCGATCATGTCGTAACCGGCTCTCTGTGCAAAAGGGCCTCCAGCACCATACCCTGTGGGGAATCAATATGGGCCGCAAGCAAATGCACGACTGTCCATACCTGAAGTGCTAGCCAAGATAATGCCCTTGTTGATCTGTCGAAGATGTTCATACCCCAACTTCAGACGAGCCATATTTCCAGGCCGGAGATTCTCGACACTTTGCAATCAAATCAGCGTCGCAGATCGATAGGTTGCGGGATTTCCAGGAGACCCTCACACGACATCCGCTTCCTTCACCATGTTCAAGAATATCTCTCGTCCCCTTTCGCTTTTCAGATTCAACGCCACGGATTTCTTGTTGCGGTTGACAGCGGCGAAGTAGTTCGACATGGGTCCTACGCCGGGCTTCCACATCTTCTCCTCGCCCTGGATGGTCCAGTATCTCGTGTCATCCTGGACTTCCTTGTAAGAGAGGATGGGATACGATTGCAGGCTTTTTAGGATACTTACGCCACGCTCTGGATCTTCAATCTTGATGACTTCTGCTCCATAGTCGGCCAAGATTTGGGTGCAATATGGTGCCTTCGATATCGGTGAGTCGCGGACGGCTTACCAGCGATAAGTAGCTACTCACAGCAAGCACACGAGATAGGTCTAAGACTTTTACTCCGGCTAATGGTCCTTCTGAGCTGTCTGCTGAAGTTGAATGTCTCCGTTGGAATCGCGGCGTGATGGCTTTGGTGATTCGAGATGATCTGGCTCTAGTGCGGACTACGGCTGTGCATATCGAGCGAGGGATTGAAGTGAATACCAACTCCATCTCTTCGATATATCTTGCAAATCAGCACACAACTCATCATGAAGGCGTTTGGGCCTGCTCAGGACCTCCGATTTCGCTGGCATTGACAGTCACAGAGAGCTCCCACGCTTGCCTCGGTCTACCGTTCCCCGCAAGAAAAGTGAGCTCCCAGCTCAGCAGCTGCAAGCATTCACCGACCGGCACGTCCGTGCGTACAGATGGTAACATTCGCCAGGCTCTCGATTTACCTCATCAGTACGACCTGGGTAGACCCAAGACCCTCTCGCCAATATAGTTCAAGATCATTTCCCTGCTCACGGGTGCCAGTCGCGGCAACATGGTCTCTCGGAGGTATCTCTCAACATGATATTCCTTCGCGTATCCCATGCCACCGTGTACCATCACAGCTCTCTCGGCGGCTTCGTATGCTGCGTCGGCTGCGAGATACTTGCAAGCATTGGCATACTCACCAGTCTGATATCCATTATCGTACATCCTAGCAGCTTGATAGACCATCAACCTCGCCGATTCGACTTTCATCCACGAGTCTGCAAGCGGGTGTTGGATTCCTTGGTTCTTGCCGATGGGCCGACCGAACACCACGCGCTCTTGAGCGTAGAGGGCTGCTCTCCGCAACGAAGCGAAGCCCAGCCCCAGGGCTTCTGCTGCAATGAGGATTCGTTCTGCGTTCATTCCTGTCATGATCTGTTTGAAGCCCTCGCCTTCTTGGCCGATGAGATCTTCTGCTGGAACCTGCCAACCGTCGAAGAAAAGAATGTTGGAATCGACCGCTGCTCTGCCCATCTTCTCTATCTCTGTAACTTGTACCTTCGAGCGGTCGAGATCGGTGTAGAAGAGCGAGAGGCCTTGCGTGGGTTTCTTTACTTCTCCCAAAGGCGTGGTGCGTACGAGTAGCAAAATCTTTTCCGCTGTCTGAGCTGTCGATGTCCAGATCTTCGAGCCAGTGACGCTGTAAGATTTTCCCTCCGAGTTCTTTGTTGCAAGAGATTGTAGTTTGAGGGTATCAAGGCCAGTGTTTGGTTCCGTTACTCCGAAGCATGCTCGCTCTTTGCCTGCGACCAGGGGGACGAGCCAGCGCTTCTTCTGCTCCTCAGTGGCGTATTTGACCACGGGTTCCAAACCAAAGATGTTCATGTGCACTGAAGAGGCGGCTGTCATACCTCCTCCGGACTCTGACAGCGTTTGCATCATGATTGATGCTTCCGAGATGCCTAAAGCAGAGCCGCCATATTCCTCTGGCATACAGATTCCGAGCCAGCCGGCCTTGGCTAGCTGCTGGTGAAGATCTAGAGAGAATTGATGGTTCGAATCCAGTTTTTGCCAGTACTCGTCTGGGTAATTGGCACAAATCTTCGCGATTGCTTCGCGAACGGTCTTCTGAGACTCGCTTAGGTCAACATCGTAGGATTGAAGATACTCCGTGGCTTGGCCGTGGACCGATCGGATTGGTGATAATGCAACCGGTCCAAGAATTGGTCGTTTCGCTAGTGAGGCAAAGGAACTCGGTCTTCGAGCATTTGGCACCTTTCTCAGGTCAGCAGTGTGTTGGACTCTAGCTCCCAGTATTTCGTACGAAGCCTCTCGCCAGCCGAAACATCATATGGCTAGCCTGTGGCATCTAATTTGAGGACAAGCCTTTCGCAGGCTAACGGCAGATGTTCGGGTAGACTCTCACATGTCAGTGCTGACGTGAGCTGCGAGAGTTGATTCGATGGGTGTCACCTAACAGAATGTCCTGGATCAAGCAGCACAATCACCAAATCAGTTTGGTTGCATGTACCCGGGAATTGGTGGAAGATCTCATGCTTCGGAAATAACAGCCCCGCAGATACATCCCACCTCCACCGCTTTGGTTAAGCGGCTCGCTTTTGTACAAAGCCGAGGGTGGCCTTGATGCCTAAATTTAAGCAAGTGTATTATCCTGTTGGACAACAAACATGCATTCAGCAAGGATGAGTTCCATTCAATGTCGAAGCCCGAATCATCACAGCCGCCCGTCCAGGCCCAGAATGCGGCCAAATCAGCACTAGACAATGCCGTTCCATTTCTAGTAGGAGGAGCCTCTGGAATCATTGCCATCACATGCGTGCATCCTATAGGTAGGAGCCAATGGCGATAGCCTCAAACAGCAAGGTCTGACGCTTTTCAAGACACGGTCAAAGTCCGTCTCCAGCTCCTCGGCGAAGGAGCAAAGGGAGCGAAGGCTGCCTCACCTCTCCAAGTAGCTCGCCAAATCGTTGCTGAGAACGGTCCTTCTGGTCTGTATGCCGGGATATCAGCAGCTTGGCTTCGACAAGCCTCGTATGCGACGCTTCGTCTTGGCTTCTTCGATCGCTTCCTCGCCATCTTCGCCGACCGAGCAAAGAGCAAGGGAAATGAGATCACTTTCCTAGAAAGAGCGACGGCATCATTATGTGCTGGAGGATTGGCTGCGGCAATGGCCAATCCAGCAGAGGTCGGACTGATCCGCATGCAGTCTGACGGTATGAAGCCGCCTGCTGAGCGAGCGAATTACAGATCGGTGGTCGATGCGCTCATTCGGGTCAGTCGAAACGAGGGTATCTTTGCTCTATGGCAAGGCTCATATCCCACCATCATCCGAGCCATGGCGACGAATTTTGGGCAGCTCGCTTTCTTCTCAGAGTCCAAGGCGCAGCTCAAGAGGCGCACAACTCTTTCGGACCGAAATGTCACGTTCGCAGCGTCGACTATCGGAGGATTCTTTGCGGCGTTCTTCAGTCTGCCGTTCGATTTCCTGAAGACGAGGTTGCAGCGAGGTGGGCATGCGTACAAGGGCGTCTTCGATTGTGCGGCGAAGGTCGCGAAGGAGGAAGGATTGCTGAGGTTCTATCGCGGGTTTGGGACGTATTTCTTCCGCATTGCTCCTTTTACGTGAGTATCCTCTGTAGTCTCGGTGAGCACAGCTAATCAGTAGACAGCATAATTGCTCTGGTCGCAATGGACAGCATTAATGCTGTGATTGGAAGGGGATGAGATGCAAAGTGATGGGAGGAAGGGCTGTCAAGAAGCATATGTAATCATGTAGATCATGCGAGAGCTCGAAAAAGAACCCATTGAAACATTCCCAAGCATTCCGCGAGAAGTGTTGGGGGTCCTGCTCGAGGGTAGAAGTTGGATGTTGTTGTCTCCGTAACACGCAACGCGACATTATGTACGCGCATCAATTACGGCATACGATACCCGGCTTTGTCTGGTACGGCGGACTAAAGTACCTAAAGCTGTTAGCCACGCAGCCGAGAGCCGAATGACCTCGCTCTCAGCTACAAACCGTCAACAAAATACCTGCCAACATCACATCGATTAGCTGCTGACTGTTTGGCTGTCTTTCGTACTCTGATCTTGGTTGCAATCATGATAGACGAAACTCGATACAATTTCCCTGACCTCCAAACCACATTCCCAGCTCCTTTCGTTGCACATGTGGAGATCAATCGACCCAAGAAGTACAATTCATTTAGTCCGGAGTGTGTACCATTATCAAGTCCGAAGAGACTGGGATGGGCTGATAGTCAGATAGTGTATTTCACAGTCTCGCGCTTGTATTCGATCGTCTGTCCGAGGACGAGAACGTGAGATGCGTTCTTTTATCCGGTGTTGGCGAGCACCTGTCATCCGGGCTTGATGTATAGTTCATCGCCTCCAATTCGTTCCCGCGCACTCAGGGACTGACGGTCTCGAAGGTTCAAGCAGCGGACTCTTCAGGGCCTGTGGGAAAACCAAAGGAGAGCGACGATGTTGCTCGACGAACATGGAAGATCCGAAGACTTTGCGTGGACTACCAGAATGGGATCAATGCTGTCGAGAGATGTGAAAAGCGTGAGTGCTCAACAACCGCACGAATTTATCTCGATACCCTTGACTGACTGGATGCAGCTGTCATAATTCTGTGCCACGGGATAGTCTACGGCGCAGCAATTGACCTTGCCCTAGCAGCAGACATTCGCCGCTGTTCGAAAGACGTCCGCTTCTCGATCAAAGAGGTCGACGTTGGTCTTGCCGCTGACGTCGGAACACTCAGCCGTCTTCCCAAAGTCGGAGTCTCTTATTCCTGGGCCAAGGAAGTTGTTTACACTGCGAGAGTCTTTGGGGCTGAGGAGGCCAGCCGTGTCGGTTTCGTGTCGCAAGTTGCGGACAGCAAAGTACATCTGGTGAGGGAAGGCATGAAATTGGCAGAGCTGTTGGCGACTAAGAGTCCTGTTGCGGTTCAAAGCTCCAAAGCCTTGTTCGATTTCAGTAGGGACCGGAGTGTGCAGGATGGATTGCTTTATACAGCGGCTTGGAATGGGGCAATGGTGCAAGCTGACGACGTAAAGCAGGCAATGTTGTCTGGGCTACAAAAGCGCACGCCGAAGTTTGCGAAGCTTTGATACCAGCTTAGCTCAGACAGTCGTCAAACTGTAATTTATCATTACCTGCGGAAGGCTCAAAATGCTCAGAGAGCGCATTTCGGTGAGATATGTAGTCCGGTGGAGCTCCGTCGACAGACACAGCATCTGCATGCCCTGTGCGAAGAGGCCTCGATAAATTAGTACATCCAAGCCTGCCAGATGTTGAGAAAGCAGCTTGAGCCGCGACAGGCTCGACAGCAAAGCGTCTGAGAAACACGGAGCAGGTAAGCAATATGCAAGCATCCACCAAACTCCCAACGTTGACTCCCTCGCGCGTCACTCGACTCTTACTCTGCTCGAAAGCAGCACCAAGATTTTCGAAAAGCGATTTCGGAGGCGCCAGGCACGTGAAGGAGACAGCTCAATCAACATGGCCACTTCCATTGAGCTCCTCCGAAGGGTGTTTAAGTATGAGTGCTCGGGGTAGTCAGAAAGGCTGTCGTTGCACAGATTCAGGATCGGATCGTTGGTAGTCGAGTAATTTCAGCGTGACGTAACCTGGATTTCGCAGCCATGACAATTCTTGTACATATTTTGACTGCTGGAAATCGCCGAACTGGCTTGGTCATGATGAAAATCACACCATGCCCGGATATGCGAGAACGGTCGGTACGAATGGCGCCAGTTCTATGAAGAGCCGCAGAATATGAAGAGCATTTATGGTCGCCTAGAATGATGATGTCCCGGAATGATGATGGGATACGATGTTCCTAACAAAAGCGATAGGGAAATAGAGGATGGAAAGGGAGCTGAGAAGTGAGGTCTACTTTACGCTATCCTCAAAGTAGACATGGCACGGCTCAAGCGTCCAT